AAACTACAAATATTCAAGATTCAATTAAAATTAAATATCAATGAAAATTAAATTATTAGATATTTTAGGTACTTGTTTATCTTATAATTGTGGTTTTCATTAAAAAGGACGTTTTAACTAAACCTTAACTGCCGTGATTTAACAAATCATATTCATGAATTTTTTTGAATTCTTAATATATTATGTAAAATCTTAAAATTAAGCATAGCAACAAACAAATTTAATTTTACTTGAAAACAGGGTATTCATTTGTTGTTATTTTGTCATAATACGTAAATAGGTTTTTCCTTCAATGGGTTACAAAAAAAAATCTTAATAGTTTTACTGACTAGCTTATACACATGTGTGTTTATTATTATACACCCTGAACTGAGTCAATCAAAACACAACCAAGAAGTTAATCAAAATATTAATTTTTTTAGTTAAAGCGCATGTTCCAAGATGACGGAGTGATATGTACTAATATTTATTAAATTACTATCGATTTAACCTTCTTTTCAGTGTATTAAAAGTTGGGGTCACTGGAAAAAAATTCCAAAAAAAGATTCCCCTAAAACAAAGGCGCTGGTCTATGTCTATGTGTGAGCAGGACAACATCAGAGCAGGACACGCGCCCCGCACACACAAACAAAGCGACACAAAACAAACGACAGTGGGATAGACAGAGACACAGATAGGCGTGGTGAAAGGGACAGAGCAACAGAGGGGGGAATGTGCCAAGCGTGTGAGTGATTTATGGCGCTGCGAGTGACGAGGACGAACCAGAATTCTTCAGGATAATGCCGACATAACGAGATTGTTTTATGTACACATTTTCTCCTTGTTTGCGCCGTCGTTTCGTTGTCGTTGTTGGCTTTCGGATTCGTATTTTCGGAGGGGGGCTTGAAGGTGGAGTCGGATCCCGTTATGTGTACAGTGCACACATAATGACACTTTTCGCTGACTATTCCCATTCTGCTGTTGGTGTTGCGCACTGTGAATAGGGGCGAGATATGTCTGCCCGTGTACGTGTGTATGGTGTGCGGCGGTGTGTGTGCCTTATCAGTTTATATATTGCCTGGCTCCGTCTGTGGGCGTACTTATGCCCAGAGGACCTTCAATCAAATCCGTAATCCTCATTCACTGCGTTAATGAGCTTCTCATTAATTTGTCACCCACAAGGGCTCACCTGATATTTTGTTTATGCCCCAGACCAACAATCGAATGGAGGTCCTTAAAATTGTTGTTGCTTAAGCTGGATAGAAGCGACGGCATATAGGTTGATCCAATTAAATGCTTTGATTTGCGAGTTTCCTCGTGAAGGATGGCGAAGTTTACTGCCTTAAGAAACAGAGGAGAATCTTGCATATCAACCGATATTTACACCTATTGTCAAAATAACCTATAATTAGGTATAGTGACCTCACAGATGGGCCTAGTTTTTATTTATTTTCTAAAATATTTTTTTGAGCTAGGCTTATCAAAAACTAAACCAAATAAAATTGAACTTTTTCAAACTCTAGAATTCCTAAACGAATATAAAATAAATTGTATACTTTACCCAACTGTTTACCCAAACTAAAAATATTTATTATAACTGAAATTAAGAACAACATAAATAAACAAATTTCATTCATAAAGTGCACGATTTACGACTTTGTTTAGTTTGTTGGCAATTATATTATATGTATGGCAAGAGCCAGAAATGCATGATTCATTCATTTGGGGTCCGCGTTTGTGTCCTTCTGGTCCTATATGATATATTCTTCATAATTTCTAATTTCCGGCTAAAAATAATTCTAAACATTAAGTAGAAATTATTTGAAAAACTTTTCGCTCCGACTTCGTGTTGTTGTAAATGTACAACTAAACTGAGCAGCCGAGCCAAAGGAAAACCGAACCGGGAAAGGAATCCCCCTGCCGACCACCCCCGAAACCCTTGGCCCCCCTTCGACCACCGACTTACGTCGATACAAACAAATTCTCATTAATGGCCAAGAGAAGGCTGTAGCTGGAAACTGAGCTCTGAGCTGAGCTAACCCAGAAATGCTACACCGAAAAAGACTTTAACAATCTTAAAGTAATTTCACAACTCAGTTTTCTGATTATTTACAACAAAATAATTAAATAATTAAATAAATATAAGGAATATTTATTTTATTTTTCAAGGCAATGTAATGCAACAGCCAACTGATTTAACCTAATGCAATGAAATGTAGTTTCAATATTGTACATTTTAGAGAACCAATTACCAAAATTAAAAATAATTAATAAAAATAATTGTTCTATACCACAGGATACATGTGATCTTGTAAAAAACTCAAAATGGTTGATTTTTTCAGTGTGCCCAAAGCGAATTTTCAGCATGTAAATGAGTCGGGCTTGGGTTATCAAGTGGGTGTGGGAGTGGGTGGGGATGGGAGTCAGTTGGTGAACAAAATATGATTTTGACAGAAAACAACAAAACAAAATCCATAATTCAGGATAAAACATAATTCCGCACAGCAACAGGGGCGATAGAGGGGGCGGAAGAGAGAGGGAAGAACCCACACAGATGCACAAGAAAAAGGAAAAGTCTGGATGGAAAGCGCCGAAAAAACAACAACATTATGAATTACGGTACACTGGCGGGAAAAGGCAAATGAGCAGCAGCGAAAGGGGGTTGGCGGGGATGCTTCGGGGGTGAGTAAGGAGCAGTTACAGTTATTTATTAAATCCCTTTACGCATTTTCATAATAATTTCACAAAATATTTTAAATGCGATGGCGACGTTGGTCGGGTGGTTTTCTTTTTTAAGGTTTTTCTCTCTGGGAAGCGATGCCGCCTGCCATCGGGTGATTCATGTCAGTGACTGGGTGTTTGTGTCATTAAACTTTTATGCAAGAAAGAAAACGCACAACAGCAGCACCATTTTATCATTTTATATAGCAGAAAGCAGCACTCATCATAAACAGGACAAACGAGCGCGAATTTAATCCCTTTTGGCACAAAGAAATCATATTTTTCCTCGCGCTCAGTGGAATAAAAACACAAACAAATGCTTAAAACAAAAAAAAAATGAATTGGGGAGAAAACCAAATCTTTTGATTTAGGTTGTGGTGACTGAAATTAGTGATGTGCAAAAAATTATATTATTATATTTAAGTTAAATAACATCCCAATATTTAATATTGAATTAAGGATCACCTGTAAAAAATAATTTATATTTTTTAGGATTAGGTATCTGATTCAATCGACAAAGTTAGTCTAAGCAATTACATTTATTTGGTTCTCACGAAATTTTGTAAGTTTTAATATATCACCATTAAAAAAAATAGATAATTTTCTTAAATCCGATAAAATCTAATAGCGTAGCGCGTTCTCCCCAGTTTTTACAACAAAACCCCCATTAAAACCAAGTGTAGGGCATTCCAAGACAAAATACGCAGAAGGCGGAGTGGAAGTGAAAATGACAGCACGAAAAATAATTCTAATCTCCTCATGAATATTCCTTTTGCATTTTCATTTTGCAAAGAGCGCCCGACCAGAGCGTAAACCATCAACAAAAAGGACAACACCAGAGCGGAGTTACCACGGAGGTGGGGGGACTTTGGTATTTTGGGCTGATGCGTAAGCTGAAGAAATACGACGACGTCACTGTGGAAAAGCGGGGTTAAGGGGGGTCCGAATAGCGGACTCAGGGTGAAGCAGTTGGCTAAATGCACAATGGAAAAAATATATATACCCCGGCAGCCGTTTGTTATTTTATTTTATTTGAGCTCCCAGTCAGTGCACTGAAAAACAAGAAGAAATATCCGTTACTATGTTAACTGGTTTCAAAACAAATATGCCTTTAACAGATGGCTATATTTTATCTTCAAACAAAGGATTGCCAAGGTTTTAATTAACTTACGCATAACTAGAATCTGCATTTTAAATCGCAAATCTCGAAAGGACGGACAGATAGACGGACATGAACAGGTCGACTCAATTTATAACCCTAATCAAGAATATATATATCTTAAAGGTGACAAGTTATATACTATACTATATACATACTATACATACAATATACCCTTTTATTCTATACACTCTTCACCATACCTTTTTTACGGTTATAAATATAATCCTTAAAATTAAATTTTGAAGTCCTTAATAAGTCCTCATACAAGTAAACAAATATATTTTTGATATGTTTTATTAAAAGGTACGCCCACAAATGCAGATTTTAATTCAGATTTGGTACTCTAACAAGTCGAATAATACAAAATGATTAAATCTTGAAACCCGATTGGTTGAGAGTCTCATTTCTCTCAGTGGCAGTTCCCCTCGTTCCACCGTGACGGTACCCGTGTCCCTATTGCACCCCCCTCCCCTCCCGAGTCCGGCATTTCACTGATGGGCAGTCGTCGTTCAAGTGCCGCACTTGCCAGCTTCGTCGTCATCCTCGCTTTGGGTCGGCCATGGACGCCATCGAAATTATAAACTTGGCTGCTAAAGAAGGTTAAGTGATAAATTAACGCCACTGCCCCCCGGTCTCTGCCAGCCATCTTTTTTGATTCTGGCTAGGATTGGAGTGGACTGGAACTCCGGACGCGAATGGGAATGCTTTATGCACGAGTGGACCTTTTAGTTTATTGTTATTTTTAAGAGGAGTAGGGCTAAAAACGAGCTCAGCTTGAATCGAATAATTACGAAAAGTGGACCAGAACTTAACCAAGAGGGACGTACTAAGTTCTTGTAATGTCTGTACTTATTGCCCACGCTGATGAATTCATTAACAATTTAAAAGTCTTTGATACAATTTGCTTTAATAAAATTGGTATTCTTAAGCTTTTACTTAATCAATTCAATGCTATATTTTCGGCATTCTTTAGAGTCTAAAATGCGAATTTCTAAATTTTGGTGTTAAGATTATTTATTTGTTTAAAAATTGGAGATTTAATTTGGAGATTTACTGTTGAAGTAAAACTGCTTCGATTTTTAAGCTTATAAAAACTCAGTCACATCGGCTTTTTTAGGTTTGTTAATTTTTGCCAAGATTAAGTGAAAAAAATGCGTTAAACTTGTGAAATGATGATATCTTTGACGAACACTTCTCTGCCTTTAGCTCTCCTTCATGTAATTCGCACCTCCTAACTGAAGTACTCCATTTTATATTTGATAACTGAAATTCGTATGTGACAGAAACAAGCAAAATGTGCGTCTGCAATTTACGTTGCTGTTTCTTCTCCAGCTTGATATTCTTCTCATTCGTTTACTACTTTAACGATGTGGCAGTCGACATGTTAATCTTCGAGGAACATCACCTGGTGGAAAGCTACTTTGTAAATACCAATGGCTGTCGGATGCTGACCATGGTGCCCAATGAACACGACGTGATGTTCCTGTGGCGCGGTCTGCGTAGGGACTTTTGTGCCAGCAACCTGGACTTGACGTCCTTCAGCAATTGTGATGACAACTATCTGAGGACGGAGGTGGACATCGAATTCGTCTATCCGAGGTATGAAATCACAAGTTTGGAGAGCTTTGAGTGCCAGTATCATGCCATGGAGCGGCTCACCGATTTCGACAATCGTTATTTGTACAGCCGGCAATTCCCGCTTCTGACGGATGGTAATAACACGATTGAACCCCATGCGGATATTATAAGAGCTGAGTGCTTTCTCAACGGCACGAGTGTATACAACGGAGTTCACTTCTATGCCCATCCGCCCGACGAATGGCTTCGCAACACCAAGGGTCTCCCGCCCCTCAAGTCGGCATCCGATGCCGGCAGCTTGTCCGTGTTGATCCTGGGCCTGGACTCCATATCGCAGATGCATTTCCCCCGAAGCATGGCTCGCACAGCCAACTTTCTGCTCTCCCTGCCGCACGTCGAACTCAAGGGCTTCAATCGGATGGGAAACAACACCCTCGACAGTCTGATGCCGCTGTTGAGTGGGCTTAGTGGTACCGAGATGGAGGACCTTTCTTTGAACCTCAAGAGTCTGGACAGCTGCCCCTTTATCTGGAAGGTTTTCCAGCAAGCCGGCTATGAAACCGCTCTGGGTGAGGACAACATAGACAAGAGCATGTTCGCGAAGGGATTCGAGGATCCGCCCACGGACTTTTATCTCAGGCCGGCGCTGCTCGAGATGTGGCTAAAGACGAGGACTGACCAATTACATGGCACCCACTGTAACGAGAAGGATAGCTATGCAATGGTGCTGAGGGAGTTCCTCTACAAGATTCTGCCCCATCACAGCACGCATAGGTTTTTCACGTTCCTTTGGTGGACGCAGGGCATCGATCACCTGTTTAACTACGGCCGGAGATTAGATCAACCGTTTCTGAATATGTTGAAAAGGATATCCGACAGTGGCCTGCTGAAGAACACACTACTATTGGTGGTTTCCAATCACGGTTTGAGTAAGAGCCGATTCTACAACACTGTACAAGGCAAAGTGGAGGAGGGTCTGCCCCTGGCCATGCTCTGCTATCCCAGGTGGCTGGAAGAACGATATCCCCAGGCCATCGGCAACTTGAAGACCAACAACCACCGACTGGTCACCGCCTTCGATCTTCATGCCACTCTCCTGGACTTGCCCAATCTGACGTCGCTGGAGGATGAGCAGCTGCAGCAGCGAAGTGCGGACTTGGAGGCCCTGGGGAGGAATCTTCCACGAGGAATAAGTCTCTTCATGCCCATACCAGACCACAGAGACTGCTCCTTGGCCAGCATACCCACGGAGTATTGCCTGTGTCAGCAGCATAGAAATGCGTCCACCGCGGATACATATGTTCTGCGGGCCGCCCGTCTTATCATCCGGAACATCAATAAGATCCTCCACACCCTTACTCCGCCGTGCAGTAGCCTGTCCCTCGATCGGGTACTAACCGCCGACAAGTGGCGACGCATGGCAGACGAGCACCAGTCGGAGTTCCGGGTCAGGCTGCTGGCCACTCCTGGTGGGGGTCAGTTCGAAGGAGTCGTGAGGTATACTGGCCGCAAGCTGGCCATAGATGGACCCATAAGGCGTGTTAATGATTATGGAAACGACTCGTTTTGCATTCAGAACTACCTGATTGAGATGTATTGCTTTTGTCCCTAAACTAGCTGTGTTCATTTTGAGAATAATAGTTAATCTGCTTCGTCTTAGCTAATATTAAAGTACCTACAAATAAAGTATGGAAATTATTATATACTGGTTACTTTCTTATTTTGTAAAGCTATAAAATGAAAAAGTAACCATATACTTTTTTTTTTTTTTTTTTTTTGTTAAGCTACCACACTTGATTTGCCCAAGAATGGAGCACCCGCTACCCGCTTTTTTTGGGATCTTTAGAAATAATTTGACAATACACGAAAACAAGGTCATCCTTGTGCGGCGTGTTCAACAATGAAAAAAAAAAAATTTTTAAAGATCTATTTAAAACAGTTTAAAATGTTTAAGAGTGGATTATAAATGTGTATATATTTTAATCCTATATCCTTTGGGGGACACATCCGATGTGGCTTATTTATCCGCATAAACATTTGCCAGTTCCTTCGGATGACATCATTAGCCCAGCTGGATGAGCATGGGCGGAGCTTCAGTCAAGCTGCCAATAGATTTCTGGCTATCTATTTCCACACACATTCAGACAAGTCCACATCATATGTTCCTTGGAGGAGCGATGAATACTTGGCGTTGGGTTTAATCTGATGATTTATAGAAAATGTAGGTTGCCATATAGTCGCATTAATTACGCCTCATAATGAGTGATTTATGCGAGAGCTCAGCCTGCCTCGGCGTCTAACTCCAGTCTGCATTATTCCTTACCCCGACTTCCACTTCCTCGCTCGCATCACATCCTGCCGCCATGATAAGAAATGTTTTGCCAACGCCAACGCCTGCGGCCTAACAGTCACATTAGCACAAATGCCCGTAATTATGCTTTTTATGATGGCACTCACACCCCTTTTTCTCTGGGTGTGTGACATTCAGACCAGGACCTTATCGGCCCAGTGTGTGTGTGTGTGTTTGGGTGCAGAGTCGCCATAAATGTGTAAAAATGTTACGTCTTTTTAATTCCCCTTTTATGTGCTGCCGGCGTCAATCACACAAATATTTATAGTTTCTTTATAATGTGTTTCTCTGACTGATTTATGGACCTCCTGCCCAATTCTGCAAACCTTCCTGCCATCTGGTCCTGAACGTGATTTATGCCAGATTGACAACTGCAGGAAATAAATGATAAAAAGTAATATATGTATGAACTCAGATCATTGTTCGGCATGTTACGACCAATGTGGGTGGTACATTGAAGGTTTTCTTGAATCCCCCCATTCTCGGTTTCAAAAAATCGATTTTTTTTATTTAATTCGAACCTGTAACTATTCAAGAATGTTCCTTTAAAATTTCAAATGAAAATTTCAAAAACTTTTAAAGATATAGCCTATTTATGGTGATTTTCAAAAAAAAAAAATTTTCAAATATTTGTTCATTTTTGTGCGAATTTAATAATCCTAGTTCCTGCTATAGTCATACATGTATTCTTCCTAATCCCGTTGTAGTTTTTGGTTTCAGATGTTCCAGGGAGCTGAAATCCCACGCGCCGCCGAACAGAACGGCTTTTGTTCAATAACAAAAAAAAAAAATAATAATTTTAAATTTTTTTCCATATTTTTAAGACTTCAAATTAATGGATGCAAAGTTACAAGACTAAAAAATAATATATTTACCAACCCATTGAAAATCGTCAAAATATAAAATATTAATTAGAATACCCTTATAGGGTATTACAATTTCAGTCAAAAGTTTGCAACGCAGTAAAGGAGACTTTTCCGACCCTATAAAGTATATATTCTTCGTTAGGTCTTACAGCATTACATTAGAGAGGCATAACTATATTCATATAATTAGAAAACTGACACCCCCGCCACATGATATCCATTCTAATGCCGCTAAATCATTTTAATAAGCTTGTACGAAGCTGGCAGCTCGTAAAAGCGGAAACGCTTCCCATCTCGCTCATCCAAATGTCGTTAGAGTCGTAAATTCGGTAAACGCGCTTAAGTGATTTTCACACTAAAAACCAGCGGGTCACTTTGACTCGACTTGACTTGACTTGACTATTTCAAATGGTTCTTTCTTGCTGGCTGTCGAAACATAAAATTAAATTTTATGTACACATAACGCGTACCAAGTCGGCCGAACACAGTTCAACAATTAAAGAACAATAAAAGTCACTTTGATGACCTTTGTGGTTTGGCGCGACTTGGTGGTTTGTTTGCCCGACAGAGTTTAATGGCCATCATCATCGGAAATTTTTTGACAACTGACAAGAGCGGGTCAGCGTCGAAGTCGACAAATCTGTCACGCCCATTTTGCGGGTCGAAAAGCACCTGGACCGGCGTTTCTGTTGCTTACCCCTGTTTACTGTCAAATAATGGCAGTCTCGTAAAATCTTTCATTTTACGAGCGTCTTAAAAACGCATCGTAAAATCTATGACCAGCGGAGGACCTCAACGGAACGGCTGTCTGTTTATTTAATTATACATTTCTGATTTGCCGCCAACTGGAAATGTTTTCCTGGGCGTGAAAAAGTCGCTGTCATACCGCAACTTCCCTCATCATTTGTCTTGACTTACAATTAGATTGAAACCCACTCGGACGACGCCCACTCCATGCAGATGCATAATACTAATCAAAATTTATGACATTCGGCAATTTAAGCGTCTTTAAAACGAAAAAACCCCCAAAACAAGTAGAAGGTGAACTCTGAGCGGTCTCAACAAATTGGGATATTTACGATCGGAAGGATGGGAGGGAGGAGTCGATCCCACGCGTCAGAAACAAAGCAAACGGAAGCGCCGCAGCCATTTGGGAATCACGGAAAGTCACTCGAGTCGATGCATTAATGGGAGCCACTTAACAGGGATTTATCACCTCCGCCCACAGATCAGCAAAGTGCCATAAAGATCGCCAAGTCATAAGGAGCCGAGCGGATGAAGTCCGCCTGATGGATGCACCGAGTGGGACTTTCATTCCTGCTTCGCAGGGTTGGGCTGGGGCTATCTATTCTAATTGATGGATATATTGATAGGCTCTTGCGGTTTTTTATCGCTTTTGAAATGGATACGGGTTCTCTGGACGCGGCAGCAGAAGATCATCTTATGAAATGTAAGAGAAAAACAAATTATCAAATCTAAAAAACAAATTGTAAGTGCTTTATAAGGAATAAATGAGTGTTTAGGATTTATATTAACAATGATATACCCTTCGAGATGCCCATATATGTTTAGATGAATATTAAAGTGCAGTAAGAAAGAAAAATTCAACGTTCAAATATTGAAATTTAATATTTGATATTTTTGTTTTTAATAGTTTAATAGTTTGCTACTAAATTAATTTAAAAGTCGACCCAAAAATTACAAAAAAATATATGAATATTAAAGTACAGTAAGAAAGAAAACTTCAACGTTTAAATTTCAATATTTTTGCTTTTAATAGTTCTTATAAAAAAGTAAAAAGAACAAAAATGATCATTAAAAATAGTTGCTACTCAATTAATTTAATAGTCGACCCAAAATTTAAAAAAAGAATTATATAAGCAATTAACTGAATTGAAAAATGATTTTACCAACAGTTTTTTGTAAATGACCGCAATTAATAAGTTGTTGTTACTATTGCCATCAAAAGCCTACTCGAAGTCACCGCCCTGCTAAATATATTGCCTGTAAAATAAAATGCATTTTCTGGCTGTCTCCTAAACATCTAGCGGATGAACCACTCCAGCAGATTAAGGAAAAGAATAACAACAAATTCCATATCATATTTACGGCCAATAATCGGCCGGGCAGAGCGGGACAGATAGAGAAGGGGCAAAAGCAATCAGAATACTAAATCTGATGTACGCCGCTAATTGCGCATAGATTACCAGATGCATGAGCGATACAAACGGGCGAGGCCGCCCAATGCCAATCCCGGGAAAGCTGGCCAGGAAGGGAGCGCGGATGCGTGTTGCCCTGGAAACGAGTCCTCATCGGAAACAGGCAACGGGCAACAGGCAATAGGCGACAGCTCAATGAGAAATTGCGACAGAGACAACTCTATTTGGCCAATCGACAGAGGCCCGGCTTCCCTGACCAGGCCAAGACCGTTGCTTATTTATTTCGAATTGACCCATTTGGTAATATTCATAATTTAAGTGCGCACGAAAGCCGCCTCGTCCACATCGCCTTGCTTGTTGGCCACAAAAAGCTGCATAAATTCTCGCTGCCCAGATCAGTTTTTTAGTGTGGTGCCATTTGAGTTTATTTGCGATGGCTGCGCTGTCATAAGTTGCCGCCAAATTGTTGCATTGTACCTGCTGCGAGATGCAGGGAAATCAGAGTTAAAGATCCCACTTGGCCAGCTTGTAACTCAGAAATCATTAAAAAGTGCGAGATACTTTATGAATTCGTCGTGGGCCGCGGCGATCAGAGTGGACTCTGGATGCTGGGAGCGAACGACGAGCGGCGTGAAGTATGCCCATTAAAATGTACGATCATCCTCGCCTTAAATGCAAACTAGTCTGATCCCCCTCAAAACCCCGTCCCAATGATCTGTGGAACTGCCGAACTGCCCGCTGAATTATTGTTAACGATTCGCAGTTAATTCCAGCCATACGTTTTCCGTTCGATTTCATGGTTTGTCTGGTATTGACTTTATTTTGAATGTTAATGGCTCGATTAGTCGATCAAGGTAGGGTTTCGAAACGCGGTTTATATTACTTTCGCATAAAGTTAAATATTCTGTTAAGGGCATACACAATTGTTTTCCCTCTCTAACTCTATATTTTTACATATTTGTAAATATGCTTAAACAAATTTAATGATCTCTATTACCAAAAATAAATTTTAAAAGGGATTTTAAGTACTCCAGTTTCCTTTTTTTATTGCCAAGCCAGGACCAATCTTTAATTAACTTTTTGTAAAAGCAAAAGATTCTTATTCGAGCGAAACAAATAACTAATTACCATAATTGTCGTATTAATGCAATCGATTAGCATATTCGCGTTTACGATTCGCAATAATTTACAACGCCGAATTTATTATTATTGGCATCTCTTGATTTCTCCTCGTCAGCTGCCAGGCATTTTTAATTCCCAATTGAATGTCCCCCTCACTGTTTTATGGTCGCCGGCAGATGCCACTCAGGATGACTCGGGATCTGGAGCCGGAGATCTGGGTTGGTCGTCTTCTACCTGTTGAGTGCTGCGCGATTCGCTGGACGGCCATCAGGTTTATGTGGCATATAATTTTTTTATTTTGTCCGTTCATAAAAGAGTAGTCGTTAAATTTTTTGATGACGTTTGTCAAGCTGCCAGGTTCTCCTGCATGGCAATGAATATTTGCAGTTTTTACCATTAAATCGATATATTTATGACACTCCACTTAAGCTCCATCAAATTAAGTATTTTAAGGCGATTTGACCTGTTTTTGTTTTTTGGTTTATTTTTAGAAATTATTTTAGTGAGGCAGAGGAGAATCGCCTTAAATTATGACTGTAAAATTTTAATTGCAAAAAGTTTCAAAAAAGTTAAAAAATTAAATGCTTTTTCAATTTTCTTGTTTTGTTACTTTCCTATAGTAATTAATTAACCTGATATTGATATATTTGATATTTTAAGTTGTTTTTAAACCGGAAAAATATTGTTTAATTTCATCAACCAAAACTTACGTTAACAATAACGAAAATTATTGTGTGTTTTATATATATGACTTAAATCTTATATTTTTTAAATCAGATGGTATAAAATATGTTGAAATTCTTAAGGTTTTTCATGTAATCCCGCGCATTTTTACCAGCTCATTGTATGGCCCTTTCACATGCAGACCGTTTGGGTTTGACATTAAATGCCATGTTGTACAGTATGTCTATTTGCTGTTCTAACTGACGTCGACGGGCAGTACACACAAACACACACACACACACACACCCATTTGACCCCATCCTTCTGTGCATATGTGTGCGTTATTTCGCGCTTGTGGTACTAAATTGGGTGATAACTCCTTTTTAATGGCTGCGCTTTTGCCTGGCTGGCTTGTTGCTGTTGTTCTTATTGTTGTTGCCGTTGTTCTAAGTTTTATTTTTATTTGTCTCGCTAAAACTCAATTTTCGAATCAAACAACCACGAGGATTTCTCGTGGCCTCCATTGGCATCCTCCTCGATTGTGTTGTACAGTGTTTGCTGATGATGCCCTCAAACAACACAAACAACAACCTCGGCGTAACAACAGCAACAACATTGTCATGTTATTTGTTGTTTTGCTATTACCCCATTGCTTTTATTGTTGTTGATGACGCAGAGCCTGACGATGACTCTGGTGTAGATTCCCTTGGATCGGGATTGAAACTGGGTTCGGGCAGGGGATTTGGGTGGGGATTGGATCGTCGTCGTCGCCGTCGTACGTTGTCACAAATGCAAATAATGGCACAATTGTGCCATGAAGGACTCTAACTGCTTTTATTATTTAATTCCTTAATAGAGCCATACTGGAAATTAAGAAGAAGATTTTATCACAGCCTATGTTCCATATATCCCGTAAACAAATTGTAAAAAATCTTTTCGATTTCATTTTATTTGTATTTTTATCCGTCTAAAAAAGTATGCAATTAATGTGTGGCTTAGGAATACCCCAATTTAAAGTGTTTGGAAAAATATTATATAAATCGGTTGAAACAAATAATAATAATCGAGAAGAGAAGACATTCGAGCTTTGTTTTTGTCGTCGAAAATGTCACCCCTTTTAAATTTAATTAGCACCATAAAAATTGTCACTGCTGGTGAAGTCTAAAAATTGCCAGGGCCACAAAACAAATAAATAAGGCGCTGCATGTGCTGCTGCCAGCACGTTAATTGTTAAACAAATGTGCGTTTATCACTCACAGAAACAACAAATGGGGTGGTGGTGGGGGTGGCCAATATTGTCCTTGTTCGTTAGACGGATGAAGGCGGCAAACGCGGATGTTTGGCATGGCCTATCGCCCATATAAGCCCTATCGCATATCCCGCATTCCCTCACGGATCCATATCATCCGGGCATGGAAACGGCAATGGGAATGGGAATGGGGGCTCTGCATTGGAATTGTTATGTTTTTCGTATTTAACCTCAGACATGGGCCTCGTTTGTATAAATTCCCGCCAACTGCTGCCAGCGATTGTTGTTGCTGCAATTGTGCGCTGAAATTATTAACAACCGAGACGACAACACAGCAGCAACACAGGAACGGCACAGCGGCAACAGCAGCAACATCAGAGTCGCTGGCGTCAACGTCGACTTCGACGCATCGTTCATCGCGCTCACATATGGCGGAAATGACACTTTTACATTTAGCATCGCGAACGGGCCGGAAAGGGACAGCGATTCAGAGGCGGACAGGGACGGAGACAGAGACAGCGATGGAGCGCTTACACGGACCCAACACAGACGCCATAAACTTCATTTCTGACAGGCCGCAACACACATACGCCGACCGGCCAACAGGCGGATACGTAATGCGGAGCAGCTCGGAAAACGGCAAGCGAATACGGACACGGCCATGTCAACGCTGCGGTGGCCATGACTGTTGCTGTGATGCAAGGGTATTGGGAAGGGGGAGGGGGAGGGTGTGGATCTCCGGCTAATGAATAAAGCGGGCCTGAAATATTACCCTGGCGGATTCGAGAGCCAGTTCATTTTGTGCAGCTCCCATGAAGTGCCGGTGGTTGGGGTACTTAGTCACCAGACTGGATCACCACAAATCATTCTGTTCCTGTCTAAGCTATAGTTGTCTATCTGTAGTAAGGAAAGCAAAGCTCAAATATTAAACCTTTTTAGTTTTGTAAAATTGTTTAATGTAATTTGCGAAGTATAATTATTTGTTTTTACTCTGCCATTACCTCATAAATCTGAAATCGTTTTATTTTGTAAGTAAGGTTCTTCTTTAGTTTGAAGATAATTGCTGATTTGTCTCTTTTGAAAAAAAGGGGGAGGTGGAATTAGGCCCTCTAAAATTAGGAAACATTTAAAATCATTAAAAGCACTCCAAATTTTTGAAAACGTTTTGAAGAATAAAAAATTGTTCCAGTTTTTTTTACGTATTCATTGAAATTCAGAAATTTGTGGATAGGTTACAACCCTTAAAGACAACATGGTTTTATATAAAAACAAATTTTTATACCCGTTACTCGTAGAGTAAAAGGGTATATTGTATTCGTGCAAAAGTATGTAACAGGTAGAAGGAAGCGTTTCCGACCCTATAAAGTATATATATTCTTGTTCAGGATCACTAGCCGAGTCGATCTAGCCATGTCCGTCTGTCCGTCTGTCCGTCTGTCTGTCCGTCTGTCCGTCTGTCTGTCCGTATGAACGCTGAGATCTCGGAAACTATAAAAGCTAGAAGATTGGCATTTTGCATGCAGATTCTAGGAGTTCCTACGCAAGTTTGTTTCAAAAAGGTGCCACGCCCCCTTTAACGCCCACAATCGCTAATATACGATTTTAAAAATTTAAATATTTCGAAAAAGTAAAAATTCAGTTTTATTGTGTTTATCAATACCTATCGAAATGTAGAAGAAATTTTTCAAATCGGACCATTCGTTAAAAAGTTATGCGTGATCAAAGTTTCTATCTCCATCTCCCTCGCACTCCCTTTACCTGAGTAACGGGTATCTGATAGTCGGGGCACCCGACTATAGCGTTCTCTCTTGTTTTAAATGTGTTTAAACTAGACAACACATCTATATTATAATTATAAGTTTCTGTATTAGTTTTCAAGGTCTTAGCTTTTAAGCAGTGCGGGGAACATATTAAAATTTCTTAGGGTTAGAAACGCCACTATAAAGATCAGAAAAATACCTATTATAAGCCCGACCCAAATATTTAAATCAATTTGTTATTCTAATGCCTTAAATTCGTTTACGTTAAATTTATATTAAGTGTTATATTATGTACATAAAGTGAAAGATTTACAATACTAAATACAAGATCTTTCTGCAATTTTTGTAGATCACCATGAACACGGACGATCTGGAGGACACACATCTGTGCATTAAGTGCAATGCCACGATAATCGGACTCGCCAAGTACATCGAGCACCGGAAACGGAACTGTCTAATGACAGAGAAGCAAATTGCGACGCCAACAACAGATGGATCAGCAGCCACCTCCACACCCACTCAAGTGTCCCCGACGATTATCAGTAGCAGCAACTTGGATCATTCCTACGATGGTTTTCACTTCACGGAACCGGAGGCTCCAAGTAGCTATCTCCGCAAGACTTCAGCCAGTCATGGTGGAAAAACATCCAAATCCTTGACGGAGGCCTATGATCTGCCGTATGAACTTGGTGCTGATCTGTTCTTTTCCTCGCTTCAACTGCAGAGCGTCTCCACAGGAGGAAAAACAGGATCGGTGGCTCGCCAGGAGAGAAGCAAAGATGAGTCCTGGCCAGCGCCCAGTGGTGATCCTTTACTGAAAGCAGTGAGGGAACACGATGAGGCGGTATTCAAGCCACTCAATTTTGATCACGATTCTCCAGAGGCGAGTGAGGAAGAGGAGGATGACGAAGAACACGATGATTTCGAACCAGAGGATGATGAAGAGGAGTACGATGTGCGGCGACATTCACCGCCCACTGTGCCCGCCAACCACACAGGTGGCAAGTGGAAGCCCGAGCACCGTCCGCAGCTGCGGCATCCACACATTGAACGCATCTCGCCCAGCTGGGACGAGCCTCCGGAGGAGACGTACACCCATCCTCCAGCGGATCATACAAAGGGCAAATGGGTGCCAGGCAGCAAACAGTTGGAGTACCGCGAAAACATCGATCTCACCAGGCTGGAGCAACTGAGAGCGAGTTTTTGGTGCAACATCTGCTGCAGGCGGTTGAAAAGCCGCTCGAACTACGAACAGCATTTGAGGAGTGGCTACCACGTGAAAAGAGCCGACGCAGAGTGCCAACTAGAGCAAGCTACCCTGGGCAGCGCACTCTCCCTGAGCAAGGATTATTCAGCGGAAACTAGTGAGGAGAAGCAGGAACCGAAGACCCCAAAACGACAAAGGCGAGCCAATCTTCTGCGATGCGATCTCTGCCGTCACACGATGGCCAGGCATTTGATGGGCAAGCACTTGATCTCCCATTATCATTACAGAAGACTGCAGCAGCAAAACAGGCAGAGGAGGAAAACCTGCCTGCAGGACATACTCAGCCACATGGGCAGCATAGTGAGGCAGTCTCCGTTTCAATGCCTGCCCTGCAGATTCTACGCCAACACCGAAGAGGCATTTCTTCACCACTGGCAATCGCAGGAGCACTTGGAACTTACGCAAAAGCTGGGCGGCTCTTTTTGGTGTGGCTTCTGCCAGTTTGAATGCACCACCAACGATTCCATGTGGCTTCATTTGCTGCATCCCTCGCACAAGGAAGTGCTCTTGGCCCTCAACAGATCAGTTCCCATATGCATAGCCCAAAGAAGGCGCCTCCAGTGCTCCAGTTGTGGAATGGGCTTTTTGTACAACTTCCAACTTCGGCGGCACTTCGCCTCGGAACATCCCGATCTTTCGCCTTCAGGAACCGCAGCCGATGAGTATCAGAGTAGGTTTCGGTGTGACTTGTGTGGTGCTCCACAGAAATCACGCTTGTCTCTGCAGCGTCATGAAAAGCACAAACACCACTTGGCGAGGTATTACTGTGCCATCTGTCGATTGGAATTTGAAACCCCTTTAGAGGCGCGACGACACCGGAGCTTGATGCAACATAAACTGAAAGCCAGAACCAAAATCTCAAGCTCGCAGCCGGAAAAGGAAATAGAACACATGCTAAGGGAGGTCCTAGAGGAGCCATCGCCCAATCCTCCCGCTAAAAGGAGTAGGATTACGAATGCAAAATGCTCAATTTGCCGGAAAACATTTGACTCACCTCAGAGTTTAGCCCAACATCGAGCTGAAGTTCATCCGGCGGATAACCATTTGTGTTTGAGCTGTGGCACAAGTTTTCAATCCGCACAGGCACTCGGAAGGCACACACGCAGCTGTCAGCCGCTGGCCAGCACCTCATCCTCCGTCGATCCATCCTTAGCGCCAAGGAAACCCACCTACTCTTGTGACCAATGTAGCTTTCAATCTCAATACGAGTCCGATCTGGTTTATCACCGCATTTTTCACTCACGCACCGGAACGATTGGAAAAAACGAGCTTCTTCAGTGCCCTCTGTGTCCCAAGAATTTTAAGAAGCATTCCCTTAGAGCCCATCTAAGAAATCATACAGATGAGAAAATCTTTGGGTGCACAGAGTGCCTTCAGAAATTTGCAAGAAGACACAACCTCAAGAACCACATAGCCATCATGCATGCCAAAAAGGAAAGTCAGGACATCATCGAACCGGCTAAGAAAAAAGCTTCCGATCAAGCCAAACCCAAGTACCAGTGTGGAACCTGTGGAAAAACACTGGCCAAAAAGTAAGTAATGAACCCTAATGTTCAATTAAATCGCAGTACAGTCAAATATTTAAACCCCACACCAATTTTTTACCCTACCCTCGGAATTTGGGAATCCGTACAAAGACCGCTAATTAGAAACTTGGAACAGCCCCAGGCTTTCGACTGGCTGCAACGGAAATGTTTGCCTTATGAAAATGTCATGCAACTTATTGTAGTCCCCAAAAATCGCCCAAATAGTTTGCCATTATAAAAGTCTCAAATAAACAAAAAGAAGGCCAAAACAAGAAAGGAAAGCTAACTTCGGGTGGAGCCGAAGTTGAAATACCCTTGCAGAATATTCTGCAAATTATATTCTCCAAAATCATTCATAATGCATTCTTAATACTCATAAAAAATCCCAACTTCCTAACTTTAAAAACACCAAAGTTATGGCATTTCCAATCGTTCAGTTATATGGCAGTTATAGAATATAGTCGGCCGATCCTTATGAAATTTGATATGTCGGATTGATTAGGCAAAAATAAAACCCATAGAAAATCCCAACTTCCTAACTTAACAAACACCAAAGTTATGGCATTTCCGATCAATCAGTTATATGGCAGCTATAAGATATAGTCGGCCGATCCTTATGAAATTTGGTACGTCTGATTGATTGGCCAAATATAAAACCCATAGAAAATCCCAACTTCCTAACTTTACAAACACCAAAGTTATGGCATTTCCGATCAATCAGTTATATGGCAGCTATAAGATATAGTCGGCCGATCCTTATGAAATTTGGTACGTCGGATTGATTGGCCAAATATAAAACCCATAGAAAATCCCAACTTCCTAACTTTACAAACACCAAAGTTATGGCATTTCCGATCAATCAGTTATATGGCAGCTATAAGATATAGTCGGCCGATCCTTATGAAATTTGGTACGTCGGATTGATTGGCCAAATATAAAACCCATAGAAAGTCCCAACTTCCTAACCTAACAAACAGCAGAGTTATGGCATTTCCGATCAATCAGTTATATGGCAGCTATAGGATATAGTCGGCCGATCCCGGCCGTTCCGACTTATATACTGCGTGCAAAGGAAAGAAGGGTGTGTGCAAAGTTTCAATTCGATATCTTTAAAACTGAGAGACTAGTTCGCGTAGAAACAGACAGACGGACAGACAGACGGACAGACGGACAGACGGACAGACGGACAGACGGACAGACGGACATGGCTATATCAACTCAGGAGGTGATCCTGATCAAGAATATATATACTTTATAGGGTCGGAGATGTCTCCTTCACTGCGTTGCACACTTTTGACCAAAATTATAATACCCTCTGCAAGGGTATAAAAAAGGGCGGTTAGGGAATCCCTGCAAATGAAATCCATGCAAGCTCGTGTGTGTTGCATTAATTAAAAATTCCAAGCTGCAGTATGTGAGAATAAGTAACCGAAAGAATACAACAAAATATAACTCATTAAGTGCTGGGCATTCCGGCAAAAAAACGCGAGGACACCCCCAAATGTGTACTGCAACCACAAAGTATGCAATGCACTCGCAAATCAAGCCTGCGGCTTTTCCGCCGAAAACTGCAATTTCCCCGTTCCCGAAAATAAATATTTTTACGGCCAAACAAAGACGCAAACAGATAAGACCACAGTCGGTTCTGATTTCATACTCCTACCAAAAACATTATTTGAATGTTCACTTCTAACGAGTAATTTTAATAAGTGTTTGCTAATATTGTATGTTACCCAAGATACAAAATCAGATTTGTACCCCTAAAGCCGGACCTAAAATGTCTTTAGCTTTTAGGTTACGTTATACGTTAGGAATAATACGTTACGTAGGAACAATACGTTTGGAATAACGTATCCTAAAAGCTAAAGAAGTCGTAGAGCCGCACTTAATAATACGTATCATAAGAGCTAAAGACATTTTAGGTCCGGCTTTACTTTTCAAAATTTAACTTTTGCCGCCGAAACTCTGTGGCACCCAATTGAAGATGTCAAAACTCAAAGTCGATCCACTTTTAAAAAAAGTTGTTTAGCTTTTAGGATACGTTATACGTTAGGAATAATACGTTACGTTGTTGTGTTTTTAGGATACGTTATACATTAGGAATAACGTATCCTATAAGCTAAAGAAGTCCTAAAGCCGGACCTAAAACGTCTTTAGCTATTAGGATACGTTATACGTTTAAAATACGTTAGGAATAATACGTTAGGAATAATACGTTAGGAATAATACGTTAGGAATAATACGTTAGGAAAAACGTATCCTAAAAGCTAAAGACATTTTAGGCCCGGCTTTACTTTTTAAAATTTCACTTTTTCTGTGGCACCTAATTGAAGATGTCAAAATTCAAAGTCGTTTCACTTTTAAGAAAGTTTCCACACATGGTTTTAAGTCACGTTGAAATAGTCGGTGTAGTCAACTCCATTGACAATTTCAGTTTTCGGCCTTAATCAAAGCTTCAATTTACAGATTATTCAACCCCAATGGATTGATTTTATATTCCCCTCTAGTCATATCTTCCCAAAGAATTATCCCATTAGCACTGCCAGATCTAAATCGCATCGTCCAATTCCGTTGCTTCTCATAACTACTCATAACTTGCGAAGTTTTTTCCACTTCACGTTCGCCGCTGCCAACTAATTCCTTAAGCAAACATTAAGTTGAATTGCAATCGGGACCGAGATGGAAACGGGGACTGAGACTCGTCGCTGGAGAAGAGAATTTTCCACTTTTCAAGTGATTATTTGAAAAATTTATTAAAATGCTCATTTGAAGTTATTGTTGTGCTGGCTTGATGTAGATACTTTGCTTTTACGACTAACGAGACCAAGTGGCCAGCAAAGCTGCCGGAGACGGAGAGTGGAGTACCCGGGCTCAGACAAACTTTCAGTGCTCCCAATCCCAGGACTCTGGAGGAGGCGACGAGGACGACGACATCGTCAGTCATGTCAACAGCGGAGCGCTACACACGCTTCCGGAATGCCAGACTTCAGCTAACTCAACTTTTACGGTCGCTTCTTTTAGCTGGCATCTCGTGGAGATGGAAGTGCTAGAGATGGGTAACTGACGGTATTGTTGGACTGACTGATGCCTTAATGGTCCTTGCATTGCTTTATTTAATTGAAGGGTTTTGTAAAAGCAACTAATTTTGAATTAGTTTCTAGTGATATCTAAGTGAGATCTTGTGAGTATTTTAGGCTAAAGGAGCTATCTGGCTTAGCCATAAAAAGTGAAACAGTGAAAAAATATTTATTTTAGTTAAAAAAACTTTTGTTTTGTGCTTGTACATAAATCGAAGTGTATTTCCGAGCTTTTGGTTGCTTAAAATATTTATACATTACAAAGTTTTTTATTAGCTTGCATCACAAATATTTAATATTCAGGTTTAAAAACGTGAAAACGGTTAAAAGAGGCTTAAATTCTCATAAAAAAGAGGTGAAACGCCACAGAATGATTGAACTTGAACTTAATTTGAAGTGTATAGATTTCATTTATGAAGAAAAAGGTTTTCACAATAGATAAATAAATCTGTTTCAAAAATAGGATCATCTGTTTCTTCTTCTACTTGCCCGTGTCACGTTTCCATCGCCGGCTGTATCCTTTGCGGATACTTTCGCCAGCGCTGAGGACGAGTTGGGATGGGCCCTCCTCCTGCAGGAGGCAGCGGCTGAAGTTTGAGGCATCCGCTGACGACGTCGTCGCCATCGCAGAGTCGGGCAATTCACTTTTATTGAAATGGCGTGCAATGTTCTGTTGGCTGCCTCTGCGAGTCGGATTCGGATTTGGATTCGGTTTCATCTCCTGCCTCTCCATCTTGCCATCCTGCTCTGGCCACTGGGCTATCCAATCCGTCTGCATTTTCCCGCTGCCGCTTTTCCCCTAAGAGCGCTGTTGTTTTTCTTGCCCCGCCCCACCCGGTCCGTTCGCCTTTTTCCTTTCCTTTCGCTCTATTTTATTTTGTATTTAAGTCATTCCTATGGTGCATCATTCGTTTGCCGGCAGTTGATTCTGTTGATGGCACAAAGTGCAGTGCAATTCATTTTAATGGTCGTCGTCGTCCTCCAGTGATCTCGACGCCCCCATCCTTGTCCGCCCCCCAAGTTCCATCACTTGAGAGTCAATTTCACAAACTTGATTTTCCATTTCCAATGACGCCGGCCCGCTCCATCGGACGATTTAGGGATTCTGCTGCCACATTGCATTCATTCATTTTTATGAATCTGCGAAATTGAGTCGGACATTGTTCGGTTTGTGGTCGGCTGGCAGTGGAACGTGTTGTTCGAATCCTGGCTCTTATAGCTCAGACCCAATCACCCATCTCACTGCGGATTCTGGCTCGTTGTTGATGGCCATTGGCAAGTGTTTTGAGCTGGCTGGTTTGGATTGTTATTTTGGCGAACTGGTTGTCTGCCCTCATCTCATGAGCGTTATTTCACAATGCATAGCTCCACATCAATTCGTATGTCTTGAAAGCAACTGAAGTGTGATAAGTATGAGCACATTATTTAGTTTTAAACTTTTGTTTAACCTTTATCGACTAATAACTTTTGTAATTCAATTAAAATGAAAGTATAAAAGGTGTATTCAGTTCTTCTGTATAATATAGAAGATATGGTGCTAGCGTAACCAACTAGTTAGAAGCCACGAACCTAAGCTAAGCAAATGTGCCTACTAAACAATGAGTCTGTACCATTATGCTAAAAACATGTAATATAAAACTTTAATAACTTGCATTGTCTAAAAGGAATACCCACAAATGAAGGTTAAATCTCCTTGTATAGCTCGAACTTTTCTTAACTCGATTTTGGTAGGTGCCAGATGCTGGTTTGAGTTTTTGCATATAATATATGTAAGGTGGGTTATTAAGTCACCTCAGTTTTATTATTAATATTAAGTATAGATTATAAGTATAAGTTGGAAGAATGCCTCCTGTCGTATCGCTCTCTTTCTGCGGCTATGCTCCTGTTAATTTGCTGTTCTTCTGTTACTGTTACTACTACTGTTCCTGC